TTTAACAAATATAGCAAAAAAAAATGCAACCTCTGATATTGCTACATTTCGGACTGGACTATAAGTACTATCCATTGTGTGCTTGACTGGACCAAAAGTTATTGTCATCCAGTAAAATGTGCTCAAGCAGCCTGTAGCTCTCTGGTGAACATGTAAGAGGGTAAAGTTGAATGGAACTGAAAGCTGGGACAGAAAAGCATTTGACAAAAAACTGTTGTATGCCTATATATAGTCATGATGTGTCTATATATGGTCATGATGTGATGTTATCATGACCATATTTAGGCATGTCACATGTTTTTCTCAAATAAAATTTGATCGTCTGGATAGTGCTTAAGAATTAGATGGTCTTACTTCTTTAACGAGTATTTCTCTTTCCGCATGGAAGTCCTTGAAAGTGGAGGAGACAAATACCCGTATAGTTTTCCATCCAGATCGTTTAATGACTAATTTCTTGCGCCTGCTCTTGCGGTCACAGGTCTTGGATACCTTATCCCATGTTTGCTGAACGGCGTATCGGTATTCGGACGGCCCTGACGGCACACTCATGGAGTTGGACGCACCGCACCCCATTTCTGCCTATTGTAGTATTTTCACAAGGTAGTTTTCATATCTGAATGAAATGTGATGTAAACTAAATAATTAACATTTTTTTTCATATGATCATTTTTTATAAATGTTAAAATTATAGGCCTACCTAATTGATACTGCCGGTCCGATGTATGTCCAGCACATTTAATATTAAATTATAAAGGAATTAGAACTATAGCTACAGCTATGCATTGCATTCAGCAATCCAGATACCTGTATGTATCAACTTAATTCTGAAGAGCCAGTTTACTTATTTAAAATGGTAGTGGTTATTGTTACACCGGTCTTAAAACCAATTATTCTCAATGGATGATATTGTATTAAGTATAGTAGATTGTTTGTATTAGGCTTTTAGGACAATAAGATTCATTCAGAATTAAGAATTGGTTGACTGGTGTAACAATAGCCACATTTTCAATATGTTACCGATGACACTGCTTTCCCACATTAGGCCCTAGCCTATATGCCTAAATAAATAGGCCTTGGCCTAACTTCTTGAGTAACACTATATCTTAGATCAGTCTAACTTAAGTATTACAGGGAGACTTACTGCAGGATGCAATACATAACCGGTAAGTTAGACTTAATCTAGGCTAGGTAGGCACTCGTAAAATGCAGGTGGACTTAGGCTAGGCCTAGCTAAAAAGGGTCTCTTCACAGGGTCTGCCATTTTTGATATAAAATAAGCCGCCCTTGGGGCCTAGCCTAGGCCTAGTCTAGCTTTGCCCTATGTACGTTAGATAAACACACGACGTAGGTTACTGACGAGTTAATGAAATGTTTATCAAACAATTGCAGGCTTACAGAATAAATCTGACTTACAAAATCCGGTATGATTAGCCACAGAAAATAGTCTAGTCAACTCCCCCACTGACAACAAATCGTCGATGCTGCCGAGCTGTTGTTTATGTTTTGAGTTGTGCAATTTAATTGAGCCGTTTCATAATTTTTCCTTTGCATAATGCGTTAATACCACCAGAGAATGCGTCATCACTGGATAGAAGCGTCAGGAAATAGATCTGAATACCTCCATGACGAAATCCATATTACAGATCCTTGATTTTAGACTTGTTTATATCACTTTATTACGTTAGTCATTAAGAAATTCCACCCATTACAGGAGCAATTCTAAAAAAGTGGTTTTGTAAAAGCTTGTCGCTCCTACAGTAGACCTACCACAAATTCTTTGTTTTTTAGCTGTTGAAGTGAGCGTTTCATATATTCATGTCTATTTGATTTTTGCTAGTATTAAGTTTGTTATTTAGCGCAATTTGTTTATGTCTTTCAATATGTGTGTTTACTTTCGCAAATAGAAGAATTCCATACTACATTTTTTGTGTGTTATGATTATATCTGAATCTGAAAGTTTAAACAGCAGAAAATCATCTTGGACAACATATCGCGTGACTCTGAGTCAAATCTCTGCTTTCCATGCCCAAATTGACATTTAAGTTTTACATTAGACTCTTCTAGTGATTAGTATAAAATTACAGGATCATTCTGCTGTATTTTTGCACGGCTATAGGCCTACAATCATAAAAC